ATATTCCACATTTTAAATCAATTAATTTGTTGATTTGTACCTAGGTTGAGTCTATATCTTATCTGTTGTGACTAGTGACTCCCATTATAAACATAACAGTGTAGTATCTCTTTAATATTCTCATCTCTTTTCCTTTGGATAAACAACCAGAAGCAAAATAGATGCATCTTACAGGAGAAAAAGAACCTTGAACAAATTAAGTTCAGAAAAATAATACCTCAACCTAAAAAGGTTATATATGACAAATCAAGTGCAGAAAAACTGAAAATACTTTCTATAATACCCGAAACAAGAAAAGGATTCCCACTTTCACCACTTATATTCAATATAGTAGTGAAGTTCAAAATCTTTCCAGGACACGGCAAGAGAATAAATAAAAGGCGTATGAATAGGAAAGATGGGAATCAAATTTAGGATTGACAAATTAATTCAGCAAATTTCAAGATATAAAGCCAACATACAGAAATCAGTAGCATTTTTATAATAAAACTTTGAGGAAAAAAATCATGAAAGCAATCCCATTTGAAGTAGCTATAATAGAAATAAAATGTTGCTATAACATTTATAAATAAAAAGTAGCTATAACAGAAATAAACTTAATCAAGTGAGTGAAGGATCTCTAAATGAAATTTATAGAACATTGATATAGTAAATTGAAGTAGTGAAAAAAGGGAAAGCTGTCCCATGTTCATGGGCCAGAGTTGATACTGTAAAAATGTTCATAAAACCAAAGCAATTTACAGTTTCCATGTAATCTCCATCAAAATATCAATGAGATATTTCACAAAACTAGGGAAAAAAATCCTGAAATTTAGGAGAAAGTACAGATGACCCCCAATGGCCCAATAATGTAACAAAAATAACAAAGCTAGTAATGTCACACTATCTTGTTTTTGCCCATTTTTCTTGGCTCATTTGTGTCCTTATGAATTTTCCAAGTTCTTTGTATATGCTGGGTAACAGTTTTTGAGGAGAAATATTTTTTTGCAAATATTTTTTCTCAGACTGTGGCTTGTCTTCTTATTGTCTTGGCTGTGTCTTAAAAGAGCACAAGTTTTTAGTTTTAATGAAGTTCACTTATGAATTATTTCATTTATAGATCTTTTTTTGATGTTATATATAAAAAGTTATTGCCATACCCAAAGGCTCCTAGATTTTCTTCTGTTATTTTTCAGGAGTTTTATGGTTTTATATTTTTACATTTAGGCCTGTGATCCACTTTGAATTTGTGTGTATGTCAGGTTTTTGTAGAAAAACAAAATTGATAAGAGATGCGACAGCTAAAGATATAGATATAAATACAAATATAGGTATCGATATAGATGTAATTATACATTTTTAGAAGGAATATTACTACATAAATTAATTGCACACCGTTATAGAAGCTGAGAAGCCCCACAATCTGCTCTCTGCAAATTGGAGAATAAGAAAAGCTAGAGGCAAAATTAAGCCATAGTCCAAAAGCCTGAGAGTGGAGGGCAAGTTTACAATGATCTCATTCCCAGATTGAGCCTGAATTCCCAAGAATCAGTGCCAATGTCTGAAGACCAAAGATGGATATATCAACTCAAACAGAGAGCAAATTTACCCCTCTTCCACTTTATTTTGTGTGTTGCCTCAAAAGATTGAAACATGTCTATCCACATTAGCAAGAGTGATATTTACTCAGTTAAATGTTCAAATGTTAATATGTTGCAGAGATACCCTCAAAGCCATACCTCCAAATAAAGCTTTACCAACTCTCTCAACATTCCTTGCCCCAGTGAAGTCAACACATGAAACTACTCATCAGAGTTTTAATCTTTATGAAGGCTACAAGGTTTGTGTTTAGGTTTGTCAGACTGCTTTGTTTTGCAGGTGGATGTCCTTTCAACACTTGTTGAAAAGTCTGTCTTTTCCTCTTGGTTTGCCTTTGTTTCTTTCATCAATGATCAGTTCACTATATTTGTGGTGGTCTATTTCTATTCTCTTAGTTTTGTCCCATTGATCTTTTTGCCTGTTAACAAAGACAAGTCTGAAACACCATTTTAAACTCCTTTTATAACTATGGATCATTTATAATTTTATGCACAATTTGATATCTATCTCTTATTTTCATAAACCCTTAAGACTTGTGAGGATCAGTTGTATCTCCATTGGTTACAGTGTTATCTCAGATCTTTGCACCTTATCTGACTCATAAATGGCAGAAGCTCAATCAAATTTTCTGAGTGAATTAGCATGTGAAAATTATCAGGAGAACAAAGAAGATAGAATGAATAAGAGAAACACTGGGAGCATGGAATATGGCTATAACATGTTTCTGAAATAGATTCAGCAGAAAGGCCCAAAGCAGTTCACTGAAGAATTGTGAAATGCCAGCAAGAGGCATGCAGCCTTCTGCTTTCCAGGCTTTTCTCAGCTACCACAAACTTCCTACAGTTACACAGAAGATCTGTTTTAACATCTAAATGTGGTGACAATTGCTAATTGGCCTAAATAATTTCTGTTTCCAAAACCACCTTCTTTTTTCCAGGTGAGTGGGATGGTAAAAGCAATCTGACATTGTAATCAGTTGAGAAAGGTGTAAATTGAATAATGACATTATTGCTCAGCAGTAGTGTTAGTATTTTAAGAGTAGGATTGTGAGTTAGTTAATTTCTTGACATGATCTATCATAGAAATGCAGTTATGTGGGGAAATTGAAGGTCTTACCTGCCCCATAATGGGCCTCTCTGAAAAGAAAGGTGGCCATCACCCTCAGGAGACATGATCTCTTAGCTTTGTTTTACTGTCAAAAGAATAATTTCATGGGCCAGAGATTTAGCTCAGTGGTTCCATTGCCTGCCTCGTAAGCTCAAAGGCCAGAGTTCAATCCCTGGTACAAAAAAAAAAAAGAAAGAAAGAAAAGAATAAAAAAAAGAATAATTTCATCAGATGCACCAAAACTCCATTCATTTTTCAAGTCTTCAAACATTTCAGTGTTGAAAAGCTCTTCATTCCATGTAACTACTGTATATAAAGTTTTTCAAAGATTTCAGTCCTGCTAGTCATATTGCAGTTCTGAATGAATGAAAATAACAGAACTGTTGAAATGGGAGAATTGTTCACACGTTCTTAAAATACTTGCAGAGACCACTTCTTCAATGGCTGGGAAAAGGCAAGATTTCTCCAGAAGAGGAAAGGCAAAAGTTAGCTGACTCAATATTTTCTGAAACCTGAGTTCTACACAAAAGCTAAAGGTACTGGTGGTTAAATCTTCATTCTCCTTGGCGTAAAATAAGTTGCATGCAATGTTGAAAACAAAACATTGTGTCTTAAGAAATCATTAAACCCTCTATGTTGGAACAGATTTTTTTTTAAAAAAAGATATGAGTTAGACCTTCTGAAAACTATCACTATGATAATGTCAATCTCACTGTTTCTAGAATAGATTTACTTGGATTTGGGAGAAATACAGTTTTTGATTTGTTTTATGTACTTTTCAGACAAACTTTAATTATATACAATTAACTATGACTTAGAAGGCCATGCTATTCTACTTGATTTCATCATTTGTCCTCAATCACATCTAAAACCAAAATGAGCTTATATATTTGATGGAGCTAGCCAAAAGAATTGCAAAATGGTCAAATGTTTTCAGGGTTGTAAGTTGTTATACTAAAGGCTGTCACTAGTTCTTAAATAAATGTGTTTGAAAATTATTAAATTTTTTCTCAAAATGTTATAATGTATAGAAAATATACTTCTTTTCAATAAGGATCCATGTCATCATGTGATTTGGAATAAGACAAAGCAAATAATTTTCTAAAGAGTAATTTTTAGTTGGTCTCCTCAAAATAACTTTTATTTACAGAGCTGTGTTGTGAAGGAGGATGAGTGATATGGTTGCCAAGGGGAACCCTTTTCTGATTGGAAGAGAGGTCACACAGGTTTTTACAAAAAGAAGAAAGATGGCTTTATTTCCTGAGATTTTTTTTTTTGTTTCTGCTCTTCCAGTGTAAGAATATACTCCTAAGTGAAATAAATAAGTCCCACATGTGTAAATACCGAATAGTTTCCCTGGTGTGAATATTCTGCAACAATGCATAAGATTCTAATAAGATTACTGACATCTAGAAATGGGAGGAAAGGAGCTAAAGATGTAGGGAAGGTGTGATACGTAGGGGAAGAACAAAAAGGGAAAAGAAAAAAATGTGAGAGAATGAGAAGATGAAAATAAAGTGTTTGTAGATGGGGAGGGGAGGAGGGGGTGAAGGGAGGGCAGAGGTAAGGGGAAAAAAATGAGATGTACCAATACTCAATAAAAAAAAATAAAAAAAAAAAAAGAATAAAGAAGCAGAAACAAAAATTGCCTTGTCTGCTCCTTATTCACAGAGTGAATTCAGAGTCTCTGATAATGAGCCTCCAAAGATGTCCAACCCCCATGACAACTTTTCTTGGCATTGTTCAAATTATCATTTGAATGTGATATTGTTTAGCTCTCTATTTATGATTTGTTCTGCCCAATTAGAATTCATATTAGTTATGGTTAAAGGCTACATTTTAAAACTATTACATTACCCAAGAGCTTTATGAATAGTAAAGTACCCAAAAAAATACATTTCAATTGTGTTGTATTGTAATCCATTAGTTTTTAATATAAAATGAATAATTTTGAGTAAAAATAGGAAACAGCTTTATTTCTCTCCACTAGCTGTTTAGAGAGGTTAAGATAAACTAGATTTATGTACTCATAAATAGGTACCACTGGATGTAAGTTTTTAGAGGGTAGAGTCTGTCTTTGTTACCAGTATCCCCACTACTAAGAACTATCTTTGGTATATATAAGTAAATTATATAAATGAATCCCTCTATCCTGATGGAAGGCAAATACAAAGTCAAGTAAAAAATAAGCTTTTCCATTTAGTACTAAAAATAAAAATGATCTTAAAAGATTATAAACACCAAAATTTTAAAAAATCTGTAAGACATTGTGGGAGTGACTCAAAAACAAACCAGTTGTTAAAAATGTAGGTGGAATACTTACCTGACAGGAGAGATATCATGATCACAAAGGTGGTTTCCCCAGAGCAAGATTTATCCATTGCATTTAAGATGTGCTACTCCCTACTCCTGCAATTTCCCCAAATGTGGAAAACTCAGCTAAATAATTTGTTGTAGTGGGGGACTGTGTTTGTGCTTTACTCTATTAAAATAAAGGATGTAGAAATAATTTATTTCTAACCATACAGTATTTGAATACCTGATGGGACATTATTAAAGCATCATCTTTAAAAAGAGACACTATACATCTTTAAACAGATTCAAAACGGTAGATTTTGCTTCATGCTATAGTGACAGTTTTCTTTTTTCTCTCAACTGACTCCTTTTAGAAGCATTTCTTATCAAACAACTTTGTAGCCTTTAATATAGTAACTTCACTAACAGAACATCTTGCTGAAATATAGGTTCCCTGTAGATAGGAACATTGGGTAAGAAGTATAGGGATGAAGCTATTGAAGAAAATTTACCCAAAAATTGAAAGTCCAATTTCTGATCCAAGTTCCATTCCAGAATATATCATATCAATAAAATGAGGATGACAGTGGAAATTGAGCAATTGATGGGCTAACTTAGTGAATACCAAGAATTGTGTGAAGTAGTTTTCATACATCCTTACTAATTTGTATAATGAGATGAAGTAGATCTTACTGTTGCCATACTATAAATAGGGAAATCAGGATCAGAGAAAAGCAATAGCTTAGCTAAGTAAGCTTGGAATTTACTGAAAGGCTTACATACAGATGTGCCTTACATAAGTCCAGAAACCTCTCTTCATCTAGCCAGACCTTTGGCCTCTGATCTAGCCCATATTTCATCCTATTTACTATGTTGGCCAGTCTTATTCACTAAACAATAAGTCTCAGGTTTAATTATAGCCAGTTACACCATCATTAAGCTTGACCACTAACCATCAGAAAAAATGATTTATGTCAGAGGTTAACTGGGGCTTACCATTTGGCCCTATACAGATACTACATAATGCAATAGAGAATACTCTAGGACTTGGGCTTCCCAGAGAAAACAGTTTAAATCATAACCAAGTTACATTGTATCATTCTTAGTAAAGTTATTTCACATCTGTGAATCTCAGTGTCATCTGTAAAATTACTTCTCTGCAACTGTCACATGGTATGGCCCAGTACCACTCACCACCACCCCAGAACCTAATGGTATGGCACCATCCCTAAGCAGGACCCTAGACAGCTGTTCTGGCCATGCCAGTATCTGGATCTTCACTACAGAAGCGCCCAGGACCATAAAGGTCATGGTTATGAGCTCCAGAATGTAGAGCAGAAGTGAACAACTGAAAGGACCTCTCTGAGGCCCCTTGATGAAAATTGAAGCCAACTGGGAAAGTGAAGAGAATCCCTGCAGTAAATGTACACTGGACCACCATGGTTGGTAAGTTGGTGGGTTCAGCACCTCCCATCAGAAACCCAACTCACTTTGGGGAAAGTGCACCTGGAACCTGCAGTAAAACCTTCCAGAGTTCAATCATGCAGTAGGTTAGGGAGCTCAATTTGAGTCTTGCAGCCAGAAGTCAACCTGAATCTCAGCAGACTACAGCTGGATTTCTGAAACTAAAGGACATAGATCTGCACACTGTTGCCCAGATTGTCTGTCATGACAGCAGAAACATACCCTGAAGGAAAAGGCCCTTTTTGTTTGTCTTTTTCTCTTTCTGCCTTCTCTTTCTTCACTTGTCTCACTTTTTGTTCTTGTTCCTGTCCTATTTCAGATTTTCATTCTCTCTCTTTCCTTCTCCTGATTGTCATTAAGGTGAATACAGCTTCTAGCTTCCCTATTACAATTAGTTTGTTTTGTTCTTTTCTTTGTTCCTTAATTCTGTCTTTACCTCTTGTCTTCAACAGAGTCCTACAGTGTCAGGATTGATCTAATCAGTTGCCCTCCCTGGTACACTGAAAACAAAATTGCCTAAGAGTCTCCAGAGACTCAAAACCTGAAAAGATCAGCAATACCTGGAAGATATCTCTGAGAAGCAGTGACTTCATAAAGGCTCTAAGCAAAAGTAATTAGGATACTCACAATAAACAATATTGAAGTATCAGGCCAGGAATTAAACAAACAAACAAACAAAAAACAGAATCAAAAATAAAATTAGAAATGAGAATACACTTAAGAAAGGTGCAAATTCAGACTTCCAGCACACCAAAGTCAAATTCTGGGGGAAATCAACCACCTGGACACTCTGAACTGATAGCACATGAAGAAACAAAAGAGATGAATAAGGCTCTAGAAAAATTCAAAACAGAAATAATTTCCCAGATAACTACAGAGACAGTGAGCAGAATGAAAGACATGATTAGAGACTCTAGAACAGAAACAAATTAAAAAAAAAAAAAAAAGATGAGCTCAGGACCAAGATGGAAGCCATGAATTCCCAGCATAGGAAAGAAATGGAAACCATGAATGCCCAACATAAGAAAGAAAATGGAATCCATGAAACAGATTCCAACAGATATCTGAGAGATTAAAAACTCCATTGAAGGGGCCTGAGATTTAGCTCAGTGGTTCCGCTGCCTGCCTCACAAGTGTAAGGACCCAAGTTCAATCCCTGGTACCAACAAACAAAGAAACAAATAAACAAAAAACACCTCCATTGAAAGTATTAACAGCAGATTGAGCAAATGTGAAGATAGAATATCAGACATAGAAGAGAGGATTGTGGTTAGTAACCATGAGAAGAGAGATTGCTTGAAAATAGTAAGGGACCATGAAAAATAAATCCAGCACTTGCTAGATGATGCAAAGAAGAATAACATAAGGCTGATAGGATTTCACAAAAAAAGCAGGAGAAAGTACAAATGACATTTAAAAAACTGTTCACAGAATTAATTACAGAAAAGTTCTGAACAGAGGAAAAGAATTTGATAGGCAGATAAGAGAGGCATATAGGACTCCAACTAGCCAGGATTGAAAAGAAATTCTATACCTAGATATATATTAGTCAAAATCCCAGAAACCCAACAGAACAAAATCCTACAAGCAGTTAGAAAAAAGAAATAAATCGCATACAAAGGAAAGCCCATCAGAATCACAGCAGACTTTTCAACACAAACCCTCAAGTCAAGGAGAGCCTGGAGGGAGGTATTTCAATCCCTAAAAGAGAATACACTCCAACCTAGACTGTTGTATCCTGAAATTTTATCTTTCAAAATAGATTGGGAAATTATATACTTTCACGAGAAATAACACCTGACAAACTTCATGAATATTAAAACAGAACTCCACATAATTCTAAACAATACCCTGGGAAAAGACAATAAAGGGTCACAACTCCGTGAGGACCAACAGAGCAAAACCAACAGATGAGGCTAGAAATTAAAAGGAAAGGAGGAAAAATAAAAAATAAAAGAGCCAACAACAGTAAAATATCATGAGAAGGATGAGCGAATTTGTATCAATTATAACCATGAATGTTAATGTCCTTAATTCATCATTTAAAAGAAATAGACTGGCTAAATGGATTAAAAAGCAAAATCCAACAATATACTTCGTAAAAGAAACATACTTAATTCAGAAAGAAATTCATAGACTGAAAGTAAAAGGATGGAAAACAGTTCTCCATGTGGCATGAACCCAGAAAAAAAACAGAGGTAGCTATTTTCTTTGGAGATAAGGTATATTTCAAACCAAAATCAAATAAGAGGAACAAAGGAGGTCATTACATCCTTGTAAAGGGATCAATCCAAGAAGAGATGACAATCATAAATATATATATATGCACCAAATACTAGTGCTCCCAATTATACAAAACAAATATTAATGGACATGAAAAATGAAATAAATGCTAATACAATAGTAGTGGGAGGCCTCAATGCTCCACTGTTACAAATAGACAGATTATCTAGACAGAAAATCAATGATGAAAAACTGGAACTGAACCAAACTTTTGAACAATTGGGCTTAATAGATGTCTACAGTGTTCCATCCCACAAAATCAGTATATACATTTTTGTTGGATGCACCCAGGTCATTCTCCAAAATAGACCACATTCTAGATCATAGGACATGCTTAAGTAAATTCAAAGAAATTGAAGCTATTCCCTGTATATCATCAGGACATAGTGCAATAGAATTGGGGGTCAGTAGCATAAGAAACTTCAAGAACTTCACAAACATATGGAAAATAAATAACGCTCTCCTGAACAACCAATGGATCACAGAGGAAATTAAAGAAGTTAGGCAGTTTCTACAATTACATGATAATTCCAATACAACATACAGGAATCTACAGGACATAACTGAAGTAGTTCTATGAGAGAATTCCATAGCAGTGAATGCCAATACTAGGAAAACAGAGAGAGCTCAAATAAACAACCTAATGCTGAACCTCAACCTCCTAGAAAGGGAAGAGCCAGATAGTCCCAAAGTTCATACAAGGAAGGATATTATAAAGATCAGAGCAGAAATCAATGTAATGGAAACTAAGAGAATGATACAAAAAATTCAAAAAATTGAAGACTTGGTTTTTCAAAAGAATAAATAAAATTGTTAAACCCTTAGCTAACCTTATCAAGAAAATGAAAGAAAAGGCTCAAATCCATACAATTAGAAACAAAAAAGGTGGAGTCACAACAGATCCAGCAGAAATCCAGAGGATCATCAAAACATATTTTCAGAAATTGTACTCTAATAAAATGGGAAACAGAAGAAATGGACAGATTCCTAGATACATATGAATAAACAAATTTGAATGAAGAAGATATAAAAGTTCTAAACACCCCAAATACAATCAGTGAAATCGAAAATGTAATTAAAAATTTACCAACAAAATTAAGCCTAGATCCTAGAATTCTACAAGACATTTAGAGAAGAAATATTGTTGCTACTCTTTTAACTCTTCAATGAAATTGAAAGGGTAATAAAACTCTCAAATTCATTCTGGGAAGCAAATGTTACTTTGATTCCAAAACCAGAGAAAGAAAAACAAACAAACAAACAAACAAACAAAAAAACTAGGCCAATCTCCCTAATGAACATAGATGCAAAAATCCTCAACAAGATACTGGAAAAAAAAAATTCAATGAATCATCAAGAAGATCATACACCCTGACTAAATCGGATTTATACCAGGGATGCAAGGACTGTTCAACACATGCAAATCAATAAATGTAATACACT